TCATGTGCACTTTAAGACAAGCATCAAATTCGTCAACTTGTATTTATTTTATTCATTTATTTATTTATTTATTTTTGTATCGAAACATTGCTGCAAAAGAAGTTGAAAAGCGRTGTTCTGCGTTTTACTGCTGGCGAACCAAATTGCTCRCACCAAAATAATTTGGTTGTAAGTTGAGCGAATCCTTATTTCTGATTGGCCAATGCAGACCGCCGATTGCCGATCGCGCGACGTCATTTTGCTGCGAGACAAGTTGGGTTGTTGTAGTAATACCCGCAACATGTCGACGGATTTTGCTGCAAAAAGTAGAGCGATTTTTTACTTTCAGCTTACGTGACCGGGCCAAAGGTATGCAAGAGTATTTGACTTTCCAAGCGGATTGATTGTGTCTGCATAAGACATACGGTGAGGGTGTGACTCCTCATCAGAAAAAGACTACATCTTACAAAACCACCATACTCATTGAAGTGTTGGGCAGAATTGATTCCCTAAAGAACAAACATCATTTTTTCTGTCTTCCCGGAGCTGATTTAACGTCACATGCAATGAGGATATCAAATTATACCTTCTCCTGCTCTCATGTTTGTATAGTTGACGGTAACRAACTGGTCACGATCTGGACGGACGTGCTCGTGGAAGAAACCAATTGCGTGGCCGATTTCGTGGATTGTGGAGCCCAATTTGCAGCGACTGTAAGTGCAAGAGAAAAAGTGAATAAATAAACGACAGTCTTTATCGCTTTTGCGCATGTTTAACAATCGCATTGTACGGTTCATTAGAGAGGAAAGTGCAAGCAATTGTATACACAGTTTACATAAAGGCGTATCACAAGTTCGGCCTTGAAACCTTTTTTTTAATTTTCCTGGTTTATGTCCTTGGTACATGTATCTATTTCTAATGCAGTAAATATCTATGATTACTTTATACAACAGAGCGCGCGATCGATAACGCATGCGTTTTTATCACGTTTTTTTWAATATCATATTATCGAGCGCGAGGGCCGTAAAGGAAGTTATGGAACGAGGTTTTTTTCCGATGAATAATGGCCAGAACGCGTAGCGAGAGGACCATAAAATCAGTGTGGAAAAAAACGAGGCTCCATATTAACTTCCCGTACGCYTTGGCGAGCGAGGTTAATAAGATATTCATTATATAGCGTTTTCAGGGAAAATAGTAAAATTAATAGAGAATCGGACATAAAAATACATTTGTATTCGTACATTTYTCGTCATTCAAGGAAACTAGGCGAAAAAAGAAAATCAAAAGAGCTTAAAAAGAAAGAAAGCGAKATTTTTTTAATGCTAAAAAGGYTTTTCTCGCTTTATCTTGTCCGTACGGGAAAGTACGKCCCTCTTTCTAGCCAATGAAATCTTGTGTTACATCCCCGCTATATAATAATAATGAATATGTCATATATACTCACTCTGACTTTTCCCCAATTGAAATAAGTCGAGGGGATTCCTGGCCGTATCCAACAACTGCTCTGCAGCCTCTGAACGACAKTGARATTAGTAATTRAAAATATGGCTTGGGCAGAAAAGACCAGGTCTACAAGATTTTCAGAGACTTAGTTTTTTAATTTAATTAAAAATTTTACAGAAAAATTGAATATAACATTGCTATGAAAAGTCAAAAATCGAAATCCATCTTAAGAAATATAAAATAATAATACTTTATTAGATTAATAATCGCTATTAATGGAAAATCTATTGATTCTATTTATATCAAGATAAAATCCTCTTGGCAGCGATTTACGATTTAACGAAAAACTSTACATAGCTTTAGATTCTGAAAAGTTTGGGGTTCGTTCTTGGCTATTTTGATTAGCTTCATGCAACATGCTAAAATTCGGTTGTCAAAATCTGAGGACATTGCAGGATATCGACATAAATAGTTTCTAAAGAGAGCAATGACATTTCTACAGTAAAACTCGTTCACACAGGCTACGTTGCAAAATGGGAATTTCAAGCTTAATTGAAATAGATCTTTTCTCGGTTAAAACCAAAGCTGGCAACATGTTTGCTGCAGCCCTCAGGATGAACAAGAATGCGAGGTCATGTCAAAATTATGACTTTTTTCACCAAAAAAAATCGTTTTCCTAACATTGCAAAAATATAAACAAGCTCCAAAGGGAAAATCTTGAGACTGTTGCCCGATTCTGCCTTGCTTTGCAGGAGTKCAAAACCACAGACCCCTCACGCAACTTGTTTTCTAACCTCTAAAAGGGCTATTTCTTTACAGTGACGTACTGGCTGCACGAAGTTGGTATAGTTGTTCTAAAACCGCGAAAATTACTTTTGAACGGCGATACTACAACGATCAACAATGCATTTCGGTCGTGGAATACACTATCGGAWTTCAGTATTCAATCAATGTTTTGTGAAATATATGGAATTTCTCAATTGCTAAATAAAAATGTGGTGGGAAATAAAGAGGTTATCCCCCTAATCCACCTCCACCGTTCTTTGAACTTCAACTTACCCAGCATACTGAAATTCAACATATACAGWTTCATTAGTTCTTTTTGTGAAATTCAAACAGGTTTTATCCTCCCAGTGATCTATAGCATCCTTGGCAAGCTTTTCGCCAGCAGCATCTAGTTAAAAGGTAACATTTAAATATAAATTGCTAGGATTTCCATCATCACTGGATTATAATTTAAATTTGTATTCCAAAATAWATGTTGTAAGCTCCTAACTTTTGTGACTTTTCTTGTGTTTACAGCTCTTATGAGCAAATTAACGTAAAAKCACGTTCACGCTTGCTGTTCATGCAGAAGGATTCTCGTGGCGATYGTGCGATTATTGCCCGAGTTTCGAACATGCTTGAAAATTGGCTGCAACTTCGCGGCGATTTTCCATCGTCGCAACAATCGCAGGGCTGTTTTACACCTACGATTTGAGTTGCGAGATAGCATGAAGAAGTGGCGATTATCGCGGGTCTTAAAAGTGGTTTAGTGCGTGCATTTGCTGAATGTTTCATCAATCAAAGATTAATTTACAAATCTTTGACTTGGTGTATCGAGATTGTAAACAAAATAAGTCGATATCGGTCCAAAAATACCATTTTGGAAAAGTTCATTTTATATTGGAAAGCCTTTTGACTGTCACCTGTTTAGTTTTCTAAGAATGCTTTTGTTTTTGCTATCACCATAGTTCTCGTTTCTAAAAGCGACTATGCAAGATATAAAATACGAGCGTGAGACGTTTATGGGCATTTAAAACTGCGAACTGTGGGACGCGAATATTTTATATTGCTTATCAAATTGCAATATAAGCTGAAGCATACTTTGCTAAATCCTTAAAAAGATACAATATCATTTTTAAGATATGTTAAAGTTGTATGCAAATCCTGGCAAATCTCTTGCTCATACAGCTATTTCAAAAAACGTTGTCGGGGAGAACGGTGAACGGTGATTGTTGAAGGGAGATTGCACGACCGACAGGAACTATGGTTACACAGTTTTGATAAACACTTTCACTTATTCGATTCACATTACATAGAAATGGAGACTAAATGAAGCCAATGTTTACCACACATCATCTTACAGTACAAATCAGTTGTTATTGCCTTTCAACTAGCAAAACCCATGACTACTTTCGTTCGCGCAATCGCCGTTCGACAATTGACATTCGCCAGTTTATCCGACAACCTTTTTTGAAATAGCTATATAAAGATGCGGTGACGGAAATAATTTTTCCATTGTCTTTGCCTTATGAATTATTTTGATAAAAAATACAATGAGTTAAAATTAAAATGAGTTTGATAAAGCTCATTTAATTTTTTTTAATCAAGACATACCCAAATCCTTAAAAGTATAAAAGACACGTCCTTTAGGCCATAAAAATTGGTCCTTGAGAGCAGCACGCCTTACTCGGCCTCCTTTGAGTTGGTCATGAATCATCTTTTGTTCTTTAGTCAAGAGCATGTCACCTTCGATAATTTCAAGGTGTTCTTTCACTGGCTTGGCTGTGAAACGATTCAGAATTATGTGCTGTTAGATGTTTTTCGGACCTGCTTGACTAAGTGAAGTATCATATAATTATCTATGAAATACCTATATTTCCCCATTTCGTAAAATTGATATTATCACTAGTGAAAATAACACATTCGAGGYTTCTCTATATAGTGGAAGTAAGAAAAAGGYATTTTACTACAAAATTTGCTTTCACATGTAATTATATGATAAACAGAATGTTACATGGTCGCTTGGAGATACGAATTTTTTCTTCTCGTGCTGAAAAATCTCATTTCAACACTCGAATATAAAATCCGTATCCCCGTAATATCCTCTATGTAACTTACCATTAGTAAGGTAAAATGCTCCAAGAAATAACAATGGCAAAAAACACTTCATCTTGTTTCGGTGTTTCTATTAAAAATGAGAAACAATTTACTGTGATGTATTTTCTGATACTTGCGTAGGGAGTTCCAGAAATTTAAAAAAATGTCAATTAGAAAAGTGAACTTAACTAAAAAATTTATATAATCTTTGAAATAAAAAGRTACGGTMAGMAAGATATAACTTYAATAGACTTCGGAACCTTTKACGTCACCACTTGATTTCCAATGCATTGTGGGATCAATTTTTAGAGAAAACAAAAGAARTCCGCCATGTTTTGTCCCAAACATATCCTATAATGCATTGCGTATACGGTACATGGCGTAAAAAGGCCAGAGGTCTATATAGGAGAAATTACTTTGCACATCGCCCTAGTAGACTTTTACTCTAAAAAGCTATCCTCTCTCGTTAGACCAAACAGATACTTGAGTATTTGCAAGTGTTTTACCCAATTCGAGCCTGAAAGTGTCAATCAGCTCTGGTACTTGCTTGTCAACATAGCACATTACATGCTTTCTTAAATTTCCCCGTCTTTTTTGGCTTCTTATATACTTATAAATAGGAACTATGGTGGAAACTAGTGGWAAACTTTGCTCCGACGAGGGATTAACGTCCGAAACGTCAGTAACTGTGTTAAATTTAACTTTTACACAACTGTTTCAATAGGAACTATGAACTTCCATCCACAACTTCCAAAATTATCATTTTTTACATTAAATTCTCATTTAAATTGAGGGGGAAGTTTATAATTGATATGGGCCGAGGATAATTTGTCAATAATTACTTTTTTACTTCTTTTTTCATCTAATTTAACATTACCCTCCCCCCTCMCCCATCCCAACTTCACGTCACTGSCGTAAAAYTGATAAGTCTCAGTAGTCAAACACAAAAGAATCACAACGAAGATCTGTGCATATAGCTCAAACAATCGTGAAATACTATTGTCTTTCCACGAAAATGACTGTAAAGGTCTATGCATAGCGCCTCGTCTTGATTCCTTTGTGTGTGACTAGAAAATGGCAAAATTCGTCTTTTATTATTGGAATTGAAAGAAAAACAACTGAAAATTATCACTTTTGTTTAAGGAAACCAATCCCTTGGACGCTGATGTAACATAACTAACATAACGATCACCAGAATTAGAAAATAATAGCAACAAACATAAAATAAACGTCCTTACCTGATCGCCTATCGGACTTCATCTAATGAATATTCTTATTTTGCTTCGATGACCTTTATAGTGCAAGTTGGTGACCATATCATGTATGTCTATCATCAGGGACCGCGCAATAATTATCAGGGAGGGTGGTTGGGCATACAAATGGGGGAGCTTAGTTTTAACATTCATGGTAAATCAATGAAGAGAAAGAGAGAGAGGTGTGGTGGTGGTGGTGTGTGTGTGTGTTGGGGGGCACATTAATTTGAAACTCATGTGAAAACTCAACAAACAAACATGAGAAATGACTCATGGGTTCGGTCCATCCCTCAAACTTTCTGAAAGTAATGACATAGACAACAATGTGTAAAAACTAGTAGAGTACGCGCGTGCCAGACAAGATTCCCAGACGATCGCGCTGTGCTCTTAGTCAATACCGTAGGCAGACGTGAACTTCACATTCATATGGAGTGGTGTAAAGCAAATCGCAACACCGTCTATCCAAGTATGGTGTTCCAGATTGTATGATCAATGCTCTTTGGATGTCCTATCACCCCTCTTTCATTAGCGCAATCCAGCTATGGAGTACTTGTTCCATARGTTCGAAGCTTCTCTCGTATTCATTAGACTACAGTTAGACTATATTTAGCCAAACTTCTACTTTAAAGGAATAGGGGGGTTATTACTTTATTACGTATGGTAGGGTTGGGCATGCTATGATTTTTTCATTTGAGAGGTGTGGATGACCTTACTAATTTATCCTCTGTTTGATCTCACTTCTCAACCCCCCTTCCAGATAGTTATTGCGCCTTCCCTTAACATGTTCTGACGTTTAAATTTTAATCAAACTTTACATGGTTGGTTTATCAAAACCTGCTTTGGAATAGGACGGATAGCAAACCAGAGATTAGACATATTAACACAAATACGATATGTATGATAAGTGATATAAATGTTTGTACTTCTACTTTGTAGATCGAACTGTATCTAATGAGTTTTCTTTTAGTTTCAATGGCGTACAGTACAGTTGGTGACCACATGTCACGTCTACCATCACCAGGTTGTGTTGTCAATACTTCAATCAAACTCTGAATGGGTTGGTTTATCAACCTGTTTTGGCTTMATAGAACTAGTAAACCAGAGATTTAACACATTTAAAATTAGTGCTATAAATTTGTATTTTTTTGTTGCATTCGGATCTTAGTATTTTTATCTGGAACTCAACTTGAGCTCCCTCCCCCTCCCCCAACATCACTGAAAGAATTAAACAAACCATATAGCTATAATCATTTATTAATTTTGTTTAATTTAAGGTTATAAAGATTAATACACTCGTCATTTTCACAATGGCAAAGAAGAATTTCAGATCTTCCTTGCTTCTTTTCAATCTCTCCACAGTTTATGTATGCTCTGGAATTCTCGATGGTTCGTTTCTCTGTTTTTCTTTCTCTTTGTGTTTCTTTAGACCATCTGGTGTCCTCTTGACATAACAGCGTGTCTTCTGCTATTTGTTATTTGCATGACACTCCTAACAATTTCCCTATTTCCCTATTAGCGTGTTTCATGATGCCGCACTTTGATTCAATATTTTATTCAGATACATGTATATGTAACAAATGTTCTGTAAGCATGAGGACTGAAACAATGACATTAAAATTTCTGATTTTTTTTCTTTATTCGAGTTTTTCGTTATTCTCTTTGGAAATTGCATTAGTGGGCGGCCATCGCGCGTCTCCGACCATCTAACTGGTACTTCATGGTCCATTTCATTTCATTTATTCTTTCTTTCTTTTCGCAACCAATTTTGTATCGTCTGTTCGAACTTATTTTAGCGTCTGAAATTTGTACTCTTCTACACGATTCCCGAGATTTTATATCCGCAAAATATTGCAGCTGTCTCGTATATAGAAAGCTCTATTGTATATCAAAACAGTCCAAACAACAGTCTGATTCAGGTTCTTTGGTTCAGGTTTCTCTAAAGAAAAWCTACCAGCTTGGAAACTTATTTTATAATTGTTCTTATGTTATATTCTAATAAACGGTAATAGCCAGTATACCGTATTTACTCGAATAGACGCCGCGGCGTTTATTTCATTTTTCACGATCCAGCTGCGGCGTTTATTCGAGGGCGGCGTCTATTCGGGGGCGGTGTTTATTAAAAAGACACTTTATTCAGTACTACATACCGTACTTTATATTGTATTTTTTTTACTAACAAACAGTAACGAATCTCAATATATAAATGTCGTGTTCATTTTGTCTATTCAATTTATGATTTTAACCAAAGTTAAACTTCTATTTCAATATCAATGACCTCCTTGTGGTCGGAATCTAACAGCTGCTGAGATCAAACGAGTACAGTCACTTCGAAATAAAAAATGTTCTAAGAGAAAATATTCCCATTGCTGGTATCATTATTGCCTCAAATTGACGCCGCACCCAGATGCGGCGTCTATTCGGGAGCGGCGTCTATTAATATTTTGAGCTTTAAGTTCGGCGTCTATTTGAGGGCGGCGTCTATTCGGGGGCGGCGTTTATTCGAGTAAATACGGTACTTGAAAAAACGCGCTCCTTGAAGGTTGTAAATTTTATGGAAATGTCATGTAAATTTTATGGAAATATGATGTAAATAACATTTACAATGTATGTAAAAAGTGTGTAAACTTTCCTTAAATTGTATGTAAATTTGGTGTAAATATGAGTTGATAATTTGATGTAAATATTATGTGACATTGTTTCTACATCGAATTTACAAAATTTAAAATGCGCGATTTTTTCCATTGAGTACTAATCAGCCAAGGTCTTTCATTTAAATATTTTTATTTTTTAATTTTTAATGGTCATCACATCTTCATATTTATTCAAAACGTATACCATCATTGTTGCTTAGGATTGCATTTCCTTTATTCTGGGTGAATTTATTCCTCGACTTCTCCAGGTTTTGGTCCTGATGTATCRCCTGAAATTACACCAAATCTTGATTAAAAATTSAATTGCGGAAATCTCGGCTTTATGCATAATATAGTAAATTCTGCACGGACATGACACGGTCACGGAGTCTCGAGCCGTAGTGGAGAATGCAAAAAGCTGTTTAATCATTGAAAAATTCTTAAGCAGAATAGTGGAAAATATATACACCTATTTCAGAAAACGTTGTCGTCACCAAGACACAGTCCAAAGGCTTGAGCCTGCAAAGAATCTCGGGATTKCCATGTGTAATTGATAGATATTCAAAATATATTTGCCGATGTGGTTTGAATTCATTGGCGACAAACACTACTAATATACTATTGYGGGTGTTAAATTCATCGAACAATTCTCGCCATGAGACATTTTCCTTGAAGAATGTTCCAGGTTTTCAACCTGTCAAAGCTAAGTTCGCTACAAGACCGAGAATTTTTAATATCTGAAAATGACTATATAATTATGTATGGCAATCCCGAGATTCTCTGCAGGCTTAAAAGACTGTGGACTGTGTCCTGGCGACGACAAGGTTTTTTAAATAGGTGTAGAAATACGAGTTTGCGCAAGTACTGCTTGACCAATTGATAATTTGTTTGAGTTTTCGCTGTCTACAACATCGTCATAGACAAGTGAATCTTTGTTAAATACGAACAAGAGCAACCAATTATCAATATTAAACTTTAAGCCCCACTCGTGTTTCTTTATATATTGAAAATAGCGGGGTATCAAGTAATATAATATGTGATTTTTAGACTTACCGCTTTCTTCCTTCTCATCCTCGTCRGATGGAACATAGTCAAGTTCACTTTCGTCGTTGGCTATCATGAAGAAAACATTATTTAAAAAATAGTATAAAAATTTACAAAAGTGAATATGTATATAAAGGGCAAAAATGCATATCAAACAATTGTATAACCATGTATAACATTCGCGCGGAMTACCTKTKKTTTKTGTGGGATTCCTTATTTTCAAGGATGTGAGCGGACTAAAAATTATAATGTCCGACATGTTGAAAAGCAATTTCTCTCAAATTTAAGTTTTAGCCATTTTAAAGCACTTAAAGGTGGGAAAAACGTAAAAAAAACTTTCTAACGTACTTCCTTATAAGGTAAGATTACCATATATGGTCAGAAAAAGTTTGGCAAACAAATGAATTTTTCTCCGAATCAATTGTTTGTTTTGATGACGTATTCGCACCAGTCTCCCTTGACGCGCGGTCCTGATAGGAGACGGTAAGCTTTCAAAATGGTTTAAAATTCAGTATTACGTCAAATTTCCAATATTTCTTAAAATTCTCATTTTTTTATGCCTATAACTCCAATTTCTAATGGGGGAAAAATCACACATTAGGAGTATTTTTATTGTCATTTCCACTTACCATTGCATTTGTACATGATTTTCGTCTGCWCGATGTCACCAGCGCTCAACCCATYCCTCTGACCAATCTCAACATTTTTTTTCTTTGGTTGCAATACAACTGCTCCTGCTTTATTGTTGCCTTGGTAACGAGAGTAGTGCATGATGCTAGCATAGTCGTAGTCTTTGCCTCGAGAGTCGATGTAGCTAGTGGATGCTTTATCAAAATTTCTTGCGACGTCTAGGAAATCATCAAAAATTGTTTTAAGCTGTTTGGATTATTTAAAGAATTCTGATACTTTGTGTGCAATACGCCTTTTTCTCGTTAAAAGCGAGCGACCGCTGTTTTAGTTGACAACAGTCTCTCTAGTACAAATACCCTTCCACAAACAAAAGAAAGCACGAAAAAATGTCGTCATTACCATAGCTCTAGCATTCTGCATTTTCTCCGATTTGAGGCTAAGCCTGTTTTTTCAGAAAGCTCAGAGCCTATGTCTTGTGGGAATGCAGAGGGAAGTCATATTTCTAGAGCTATTGTAATGATGGCGGGTTTTTTTTTTATTTTTTTAAATTTTTTTTTAACTTTCTTTTGTTCTTGGTAGGTCTGCGCAAGTGACTCTGTTGTCTACTTAAACGGCGGTTTATCTCAATGAACTGGGAAATGGTTTGATTAYTGTGGCTAAGGGTCCGCATGAAAGAACTTCGAAACTGGAGTATTGCATTATTGCAGTCCTATCCTGACTGAAATCAACTCGCAAAATTCTATTTTTCCACCCGTCGACAATGAAAAAMATGATTCTCATTAATTTCTGCCTTTTCACCAATAATTAATTATCAGKKTCTTAATGGGGKTCTCAATGTCGGTAGTCAGTTAAAATATCAAGCATTTGTCGCTAGTCAGACAGTTAAAATTCTAGGCATTTGTCGGTTATTTAAAAAAAGTGGATAAACATTAAGTTTAAATGCATCTAAAACGGTGCTTTATACCAACAGAATTCTWTCTAAAATGCCAACAATTGAATCCTTGAGTCTTGATTGGTCAATTGGATGCCCCTCAAAGTTTTAGAGTGGCTCATCACAACTTCAAGAAGCCAATCCGAAGCAAAATTTATTTTTTCCGTGGAAAATTTCGAATGCAGTTGCTTGAAAAATAAAAAAAGCTTGTATTCATGGAGCAACATCTTTGAATATTGGAAAATGTCACCAGTCAGTAAATTTGTTAATGTCGGTAGTCAGCAAATTTTGTTCAAATTTGTCGCTAGTCAGTAATTATTTTGTCCATTTGTCGCTAGTCGGTTAACCCCATTCAGACCCTGAATTATCCTTTTTAATGATGTAAATGCGGCTCCATCTGGTCTACAAAACAATGGAATGTAGTTCCCTAAGGAACAAACGTCATTTGTTCTGTTCTTCCAGGAGCTGCTTTGACGTTACATGCAAGGGGGCTATAGGATCATACTTTTTCCTGCTCTCATGTTATTCTTGTTGATGGTAACGTACTGGTCACGGTCTGGACGGACATGCTCGTGCATGAAACCAATTGCGTGACCGATTTCGTGGATTGTGGAGCCCAATTTGCAGCGACTGTAATTGMGAAAGAAAAATACACGTAACTAATGATATAATATGGAAAATAACTAATGATATATATTAATTTCTCGGTACTTTTTGTTTTCATATTGTAAGGACAAGCAAGAAAGGCTGCTTCCCACTTTCAATATTATCTCTTAACAAATTGCTCTGAGCATCAGTACGAATTCTCAAAACCAAAAGTCAATGTGTTTCTCAAKTTTTGATTGATATCATTAACCTAGCTATCTGCTGAAAAGCAAAGACAAAGTTTGCAAGCCAACTTTGKAAGTTAATTAACAATAATGAATAGTCACGAGGTTGTAGCTGATCCCATTAAAGAGTGCTCAATACACATATATTGTAGAGCTAAGAATATATATGTTAAAACGAAGTTGCTAATCTTGCCTCCTCGTTATATATGTATATTACATTAATGAATATAAAGCTCAGTAGCAAATCTAAATTATTTTGTAACAGACAATAGTTTGRTGGATAATAATGATGAAATGTACTTACTCTTTACTGCTACTTCCAACGGAGATAAGTCGAGCAGCGGTATTACCGTATCCAACTTGTGCTCGGCAGCCACTGAAGGGTAATGAAATCGAATTATCAAATTGATATAGGTCAAATGTTCCACTTTCAAAAAACGTCGAAATCTGAAGAAATGGGCTCATACGTTTGTGATCAGTATGGAAAGTTTCTGGGAAAGTAATGGAGTCATATTTGTGACATGATGTTCTTTACGGATTGATATCCTTCCGCCATCTTAGATATGTCATTTTACACTTACACTTCATACTGGAACTCAACATAAGCCTTYTGATTTGTTCTTGGTTTAAATTTTAAACAGGTTTTGTCCATCCAGTGCTGCATAGCGTCTCTAGCTAGCTTTTTACCAGCAGCATCTGAAAAGTACCAAGAAATGTTGWACCGATAAAGGAAATTGTGGAGAWAATGGAAATATGGGGAAAGTTGAAATTGCCAGARATGTGKTGCACTTTACTGGAAAACAATGTATTTGAGTTTGTCCGATTCTTCTAAGGAAACTAAACCTCCAGAACATCTTGGTGCAGAACTGTTATACAAACTAAATAACTCCTCATGGGACCTCTGCAACGTACTGGGTATTACTTACCATTGTCAAATTTCTGATGATTTTTTTATTATTGCAACGTGTTTGACTTAATTTATGGTCTCATACGTATTGGTCATGAGTTCTATTCAATAAGACATACCTAAATTATTCTTGAGGGTGTAATAAACCTCTCCTTTAGGCCAGAGATATCGGTCCTTGAGAGCAGCACGCCGTACACGTCCTCCACTAAGCTGGTTATGAATCTCCTTTTGATGTTTGGTCAAGAGCATGTCATCTTCAACTAGTTCAAGTCTCTCTTGGACTGGCTTGGCTGAGAAATACAGAATCAATCAGAAACAGAAACTCTTAAATGTCTTAAGTTTGAGTAAGTGTTTTTTTTACTTACCATTTGCGAGATAAAATGCCGCGACGAGCAATAATGGTAAGACACACTTCATCTTGATTTCGATACTATTTATCAAAATATTCGTACAAATTCAGTTTGTTAAGATCACAGGCAGCCCAAGCTAAGCATTTGACTACCTCATTTAGCAATGTCTAGAATGCATGTAAATATGACATCTTGTTAGAAAAAATAAGTAAGAGACATTTTTCTTACCTCATGATGCGGTTTTAGCTCTGAATTAAGGCATAATTTGCCGTTTTTCTTGATATCTCCCCCTCTATACTTGAAATGCCTTTCAGTGATATAAGTCAGTAAAATGTCTCTTATTTTTTCTATCAAAAATGTCATATTTATATGCATTCTACTCTAGATATCGCTAAATGACCTACAGGTAGTTGAATGCTTAGCTTGGGCTACCTGTGTTAAGATTTGATTGATTTTAAAGCGAAATACTACAAATAACGACTAACTAGGCTGATTTTTCTCTTTCAAGTGCTTTGTTTATCATTTGTGCTGGGAGTACTCATATATTAATCTAAGGACATTGGAAAAGTTGAAAGTTTACAGAGATTGTAAATTTTCTGTAAATTATGATTTATATACTTTGTAAATTGAAAATTGATCTTACATGATATGATAGTTACGATATCTTCGAATTGAAGAGTGTTTCATGATTCTGTAAAATGTCAG